TTTTTTTTTACAAATTAGAAATATGTTACTTCCTTAACTATCTTCAAAAATGGGTGCACTGTATTCCTTGTCAGTACTAAAAAATTATTGTTTGCTTCAAAAAAAATCTCTTATTCACATTATCAAATATTTTAAAATATTTTCTTAAATACTATTTTACCAACATTTTTCACAAAAATTATCAAAATAATTTTAATATGACTAATAAACGTATTGCATGGTGTTATCCAAATGTATTCTATATTATTGTTTTAATAAAGAAGATTCGGTAAGTAAAAAAATCTATAATTCATGACGCAATTATGCCATATAATTAATAAAACCTAAATAGAAACTAATAAATATGTAGTGATTTTTGAATGAAAAGAAGAAAACTTTTTTCAATATCAGGTATAAGAAAATGTATCTTGCAAACAGCATTTTCCTTCTTTGTCAAGTATAGAATTTCTATATCCATAAAATCTGAGTACCATATTGAAGGAAAAATATTTTTACAATTTTATATTTAAGTCTTTTCATGAAATGATTTTTATATAATTTCATTTCAATATCATATTTAAATCAACAATGGTGTGCCCTTGCTTGTGAATTATTAAGCTTTTACACTTATTTTTTTCTGTGCATGAAGAATTAATTAGCAAAAATGAATACTATTCTTTACTGTCACTAAACATATGATTTTATGAAATTTCAATATCGTGCAAAATTCTCAGCAGAATCTTAAAATTATAGAGATCACTTAGGTTTTAGAAATGTTAAACAAATTTCATATAATATGTTCATATTTTACAAACAAGTAGGGATGTATGTTAAAACGTAAATAACATGCATTATCAAAGGAAATTATTATTTTGTCTTACTCTCAGGGTTCAAATGTGAAAAATAAAAAGCAAGAGAAAATACCATTTCATGACATGACTTACATAACTATTTAGGCTTCGTACATTTATGTTCTTATTAAAAAGAAGACTGTTTTATTTTTCATTATTTTCAAATTACCAAAAAAAATTTAAATATGGATGCACATGTCTAGATATCATTCAGGTTTGTGTCTCATAATTTATGGCAACTGTGTGCTTACAGTTCAGTAGCTTTGAGATTGCTAGCACAATGTTCTTATTAGCTGTGTGTTTTCTTTTCTTTTTTATTTTTCTTTTTCATTTCAGAGGCTGGAGTTAATCTGAAGAGCACCACTTCTCTCTCTCCTGAAAAAAGTTGCCACTGATATTTTTACTGGATAAAATTAAAAAAAAAATGTTTCAGTTCGCAAAAGCTAATTGTTGAACTGTTGTCCTAGAAGAAATTGTCCGCAGGAGCTGAGGCAGAATTATCTGATGCCAGTGGAACAGGCTCCATCAGACCATGGTTCATTTCCTTTTCAAACCATTTTTTTTTCTTCTGACTTACAAGTATTTTTTTTAAGAAGGAAAGGAAAAAAAAAAACCTACATTGGCATCAAGTTCTGTATCAATCCATCTTACATTGCCATTCATGATTTAACAGACTGTAGAATCTTGAATAATCAATATCACTTTAACAAATAAATGTTTTACTATGACAGAATTTGCACAGTGCCTTATTTATGGAAGAACCTATTGCTTCAAGTGTGAGTGATGAAGTGAGTTTTTCAATAAAAATTCCGTTTTATTTCTAGTAGTACAAAAACCTTGAGGAATCACCAATTTTCTATAATACTGAAACAATTTCTTCTATTACTGAGAATGGGCACCCACATCTATGGGAAAGCAGTACAACTATTTAAATAATCTTACAGGAGTTTTATGCCTCATTTAAGGCAGGAAGTAATGGAGTCACTCTTCTTACAGTAGGACTGCAGGAAAGAATAAATAGGCACATTATTAATAATCCAATTTGATTCATTGCTTTTCTTGATAGTTAGGACAAAAGAACCTTTAATAATTGCAGGGCTTATATGTCAACATAAGTGTCTATTTCTCTAATTCTGCACAATTTCAGGATATAGAACATGCATCTGATTTGACACCAGCATATAAAAACTAGGATATCTTTGATGACTAACAAATATGAATTGAGTCAAGTTTAAGCAGTGTCTACACAGCTTTTTAAGAGCTTGTCTTGGTTTAAAGTGGTGCTGAGATGTTTTAGTTTGGCAATATACCTACTATAATCTTCCAAATCTAATAAATAGCATAATATGAAAACTTGTAATACTTGGCATAAGACAGAAGTTTAATTTTTTAAAAATAATCTTTTTTCCCCAATTGAATTCACATTCTCTAAAACAAAGTCATGTTTCTATTCTTCACAATTTGGGTAGTTCTATTATAAGCAATACATAT